GCTCCGGCTCATTGGCACCTGTGGATCCAGCAGCAGCTCAGAGCCCTGCTTCGTGCCCTGTGGACACAACGCCCGGGGTGGCAGCTCCTGATGCAGCTGGTTACTCCTTGTGGCACCACAACCTCCCCTCCAGACTCTGGTCCCTCTACACATCTGGCAAGGGGATTTCTCCCGATGCAGGGACGGTCACTTGCTGCTGCCCGGGGCTCTCCCGTGGAGCAGAGCTGTTGGGATGAAAGGGATGGAGGCAGCAGCTACAGAGACAGACCTTCCGCAGGGGCTGACCCGGGCAGGCAGAGTCCCGGGGGGGCAGGATGGACCCCAGCTCCTCTGTCCTGGTTTCATCGGTGGCGTTTGAAGAGCTCTGAGCAGTGACACCGGGTGCCCAGGCGCAGGGCAAGCAGTGCTCGCGGCTTCTTTGTGGCAGCCGTGGGAGAGCAGAGAACTTGCCTCAGCATATTTATCAATGTAAGTGTTAGGTTAACCATAATTACAGTTGTTAGGTTAATGAAGATTGTAAGTGTTAGGTCAATGGCTGGACTCAGTCTTAAAGATCTTCTCCAATCTGGGCAATTCTGTGATTTCCAGCCCTGGAGATTTCTCAGTTGCAGCATAAACAGTGCTGACATCCAAATGTGTCACTCAGAGAAGCATTTGTGTTTCGGGAGTGAGTCTCCTGTGTGTTTTGCTCCAGTTCCCAGCTACAGGCAGCTGCGAGGAGAAGACTCCTGATTTCAGAGACTCAGACAGCAGCAATGACAGTACCTGGCTGAGATGAAGGGACCTGGATAGTGGAGAGGAACCCTGGGGGAGCGAATTTCCCAATACTTAACACTCCCAGATAAAATGTGGTTCAGAAATTGAAGTGTCTGTGCCATGAGCAGTTGTGAGTTCTGCTCGCCTTCGTGCCCCAGGTGTAGTTCAACACCTGAAAGAGCCTCTTTTCCTGCATTGCAAGCTCCTGCAAGCGAGAAATGACGTGAAGTGTTGCACTGAGCCACGTCAGCATCCAACCTGTGGGGATCCCACCCCGCATTCTTCATCCTGGTGGGGATACCTGGGATGGAGAGGGCCTACACCTGGATCTCCATCCCCGTCTGCATGATGCACTCGGCCGCCCTTCTCGGGAACTCGGTCCTGCTGGCCCCCCTGGCGAGGGAGCGCAGCCTCCACCAGCCCGCGTACGTGTTCCTGTGCATGCTGGCAGTGTGCGACCTGCTGCTGCCCACTGCCACCGTGCCCAAACCCCTCCGTGTCCTCTGGCCCCTGTCCACCCAAATCTCCTCCCAAGGCTGCCTGGCGCAGATGTTCTCCATCTCTTTCGTTTTTGTGGCAGTCGGCCGTTTTGGTGATGGCCTTTGATGGGTGCGTCGCCATCTGCGACCCCCTGTGTCCATCCTGATGTGCTCTGCTGTGGGGAAGGTCGGCGTGGCGGCTTACATCAGGCGTTTCTCCATCATGTTCCCCGCCGTCTTCCTCCTCAAGCATCTGCCCTACGGCGGGCACAACGTCATGCCACACACCTACGGCCAGCCTCCATCAACATCTGGTCCGGGATGGCTGCCGGCTTCCTCGCAGCCGGCTTGGACTCCATCTCCACCGTGCCCTACGTGCTGATCTTCAGGTGCCTCTGGGGGCTGCCGTCCCCACGCGCCTGCCCCAAGGCCCTGCACACCTGCGGCTCCCACCTCTGCGTCATCGCCGTGTTTTGCACTCCGGCCTTCTTCTCCTCTCTCTCTCACCGGTTCGGCTGGGACGTCCCTCAGCACATCCTTGTCTCCTTCACTGACCTCTACATCACAGTGCTGCCCATGCTTAACCCCATCATTGATGGGGTGCAAACAAGGCAGATCCAGGAGTGGATCTGCTTGGGCCAGGGGGCTTGGGTGGTGGGAACAGGCAGGGGGGGGAACGGGAGCTTTGAAAAGAGGGAAATGAATGAAAGACAGCGGCAACTATCAAACACGGGCCAGGTGGGAGCATCTTCTTAGTAAGCGTGTTCAGTGGACACTAACCCCCAAGCACAGCTCTGCTGCAGAGAGGCTCGACAGGTTCCCAGAGGTGCTGATGGGAAACAACTCCCTAGGACAGTGGGAGCCGGACATCAGGGTCCACCACTGTTCCTGTGTTCCTGGGGTCCCACGCCTTGTCCTGTTGGGTATTTGTACAGGCAAGACCTTTGCAAGCGAAAATAGTTTCTGAATTCTTCGGGTGCTAGCGAGGCTCTTGTGAAACAGAGAACATTGAAGAAGTACAAATAGTACGTGTACCTGTTATCTCGGTCTGCAGTGGGGCAGTGGGGCAGCCGGCGCTGGTTGAGCTGGGTATCGTCTCCGTGTGACAGGGTAGCGATCTCCCTGAAGACACCCGGGTCTGGGAGTACCGGTTGGGTCTCCTCTCTCCTGACGCCCTCTCAGAAGGCTGCAGGGACACAGAGCTGGTGGGAGGACTGCTCCTCCACCCTGCTTGGCTTTGCGCCGCAGCCAGCCGCCATCTGGGGCAGCCTGAGGGCAGGGAGATCGCGTGCCTGGAGACCAGAGACCGTGTCCCAGTGTCCCTGCCTGGCTGTGAGCTTTGCCAACGGCGCGCGTTTGCTTTACTCTCGGTGCTCTGTCCACTCTGCCATGGACAAGGTTGAGAAGATCTGATGTCTTGGTCTGAGCTCGGCACTTTAGGGTGGAGAGGGGGCCAGTGGAATAGGACACATCCAGGTCCTGTCTTAGCATCTCTGAGCAGGGGTTGTGCAGAGCCAGCTCGGCTCCCAAGCGTGAGGAAGACCCCTGATAGCTCATGTCAGATGGAGCTGGAGTACAACAGGTTTGCACAAAGCAGTGGCCCTGGTGCCTCACGGGATGTAAGTCCAGCATGATGGGGGCCCCCAGCTCCCCAAACCTCCTCTCCTACCACTTCCACAGAGATCTTTCTCAGGAAGAAAACTGGGAGCAAATCTTGGTATAACATCAGTTGTGGTAATAAAAATGTGAATTTACCTGTCATCAGAACTCTGCTTCCAAGTATCTCAGCGCGTTTTGCAAATAACCTCATTCTCACTAGTGACACCGGCACGCTGGCCATTAGTATGTTTTCTCTAGTAGGGCCACATCTGCTGGAAAAGGGAGGTGTGACCAGCACGTTGACTAAGGATGAGGAATAGGTTACTAGAGAAATACAGGCATGTATTAATGACATAACATTTACATTGGTGACAGCTGAGATAAGGGTTTTGAAGCCTCTGTAGCAGTGCTGGCAAACACTAGAACTATGTTTTTTTCTCTCTCTACCTCTTGGTTTGGATGCCCTTCTCTAGCTCTTTTCTGCACCCAGAATAGGCTAGCTCTAGGTTTGGGCTCTAGCTCTAGGTTTGGGTTCTAGCTCTAGATTTGGGTTCTAGCTCTAGATTTGGGTTCTAGCTTTAGATTTGGGTTCTAGCTCTAGATTTGGGTGCAAGCTCCTGCTCAAAGAAGTCCCCAGCATGCTCTCTGGAAGCTGGGAGGTTTCCCCACCAGGATGTGTCTGCTGGATGGGGACCTCTGACGTGGACAACTGTGGTGCCTGGTGGCCAGAGCAAGGGTGCAATGCTGGGGTGATGGAGGCTTTGGGACCAAGCTGCTGGAACACAGGGATGGACCATGGGTCTGCATCCCCCCATTCCCAATGTCACACCCCAAGGACAGGGCGGTTTTACAGGGCAGTGCCCTCTTTTTCAGGAAAAAGGGCCTGGTTTAGGTCTGTGAGCAGAGCAGGAGGCGGAGGTGCCCTCCCAGAGCCCGACGGTGCCTGTGGGGTGGAGATGGAAACTGCAGAATTCCTCTCCTCGGGACTTCTCCTCTGCCTTGGCACCATCACCTGAGGCAGTATTTTTGGTGCATCCTTGCTGACTAAATTTTGCTGAATTTTACAGACACCTACTTTGGCAAACCCAAAGCTCCTTTGCCGTGTGCTGCATGTTTCAGTTCAGGTTTTGCTTGTGAGTATTTTCCCGTCACATTTTCAACTGCAAATTTATCCCGCGCATAGCCTTTGGACAAGTGGAAATCAGCAGGGCTGGGTAACGCATGCCTGGGGGGTCCAGAAGACCTCGTGGAGGAACCACCAGGCCTGCCAGAAATCCTCAAGTATCCCTGGGCTTAGCAAAACTAGTAAAACAGAGAAAAAAGTTTACTTTTTTTTAAAAAAGAAAGTCTTTCTGACATGTGCTAGTATTAAAAAGGAGAAATGGGATTATCGAAGAAATTTGAAACTGCTTAGTTTGACATTAGCTCCACATAAAATAATGGAAAAGTGAATATGAGACATGATCAATAAAGTGTAGAAAGGACAAGAATGTAATTAATGGCAATCAGTACTTGGTTTTGGTGTTCAGCTTCCGTAGAGTCATGTCATTTTGTTTGATGACGGCTTCCACATTTGGGTGCTAAAGGTGCCCGAAGGCCGAATAAAACTGTAAACATTTTTATATTTTCACAGTATTGTGATACACACCTCATTATAACAAACAAACAAATAACAAGTCAAGCGGATGTTAATGGAGTTCTGCTGACTGCAAAGTCCTATTTCGGTGACAGCTCCCCCCACGCCTTTCTGGGGCCGTTTGGTGGGGATTGATCGGGGCTGGTGCTGTATACGATCGTTATCAGTTGTGTAGAAGCAAGTGTGAAATCGTTGCTAACAGGGTTTGTAGATGATGCAAAGGCGGGTAATTCAATAGAGGCGAGTGCAGAGTCACGGTCTGCATGAGAGGAGGGGGAGGCTGTGCCGGACCGGGGGCTGCGGTCGCAGCGGAGGTGGCTCCGAAGAAGCTCCGGAGAGCTTCAGTGGGGGCACTTTGGGAGGGGTTTGGACAGTGTTGGGGTCTCAGTGGGTTCCTGTACTTGTGCAGGAGTGATCATAGAATCATAGAATGGTTGGAAGGGACCTCAAAGGTCATCTCGCTCCAACCCCTGCCATGGCAGGGACGTCTCCCGCTCGAGGAGGTTGCTCAAGGCTCCAGATGATGCTGGGCCATGCAGGTCTACCTTCCCTTCAGCTGGCTCTCCAACGCCTCACCCAGTCCCGAGGTCCCCACTTTTGAAAATGTGGGAGGGTCCCTCTGTGCTCCCCAGTCCTGTGGGACACCTCTCCTGCCCCGGCAGTGGTGACGGGGATCAGATGAAGGGGAGAAAGTCCGGAGAAGGCAGAACTTTTTACAAACTTTGCTGAGCAGCAATAATGGTTGAGAGCTGGTTCCAGCCCCCTTCTGCTGGGAAAGCATCTCACAGGTGCTTTGTGGTGTCACGGAGCGGGTACAGCTGGGTGATCACAGCAGTCCTCTGAGGTGTCAAAGGCCATGAAAAATAAGCCTTTGGTCCCAGGAATGGCTGGGGGTCAAGACAAGCTCCTCAGGGTGTCTGCTGGGCAGAGGTGGGGACATCAGGTGGCGCCAGGTGGGGAGTTACCTTGAAACTAGAAAGAAGGATCTTCCCCCTGGGACAGGGCAGGAAGGGGTAAATTTCCTTTACCTGTTTTGGTATTTCTGTCATAAAATGTGCTTCTCCTTGTTCTGATGAGTCAAGAGGAACAACCCCCCCGCGCTTTTAGTGATGGACATCTTTGGATCATGAGCACCATCTGGAGAGCATCCTCTGCGTAAGATCGACAGCGGAGTCTAAAGCATCTGCCCGGTATCGCGGCTGTCACCGAGCAACGTAAATTATCAGATGAAATAGGAAGAAAGTGTTAATTTTCTGTTTCTTCAATCAAAGCTGCAGTGTGAGGTGGGTTGGGGGACGGGAGCACAGTGAGCTGTGTCCCGGGTGTGTGCCCCCCTTAGCTGACCCCGCTTCTAGCAGGAGGTTGGAGCAGAGACCTCCTGAACTGCTCTGCAGCTCCACGACTCCGTCAGTGGTCCTTAGCGATTGTGTGCTCTGGCAGCGAGCCTGCGAGCCTGGCTATTCAGGACCTGTAACACTAACGTTCGTTTTGTCCTTTATTTTTGGTCACTGGAAGCCTTGTAGAAGGTGGAAGGAGCCGGCACTGCTCTTGCTCCCGTGCCCGTGTCCTGAAGGGCATCTCTGGCGCGGAGGAGTCTCACTCCTGGATCTCCCCCCCTTTACACTCACGTATGTGGTCGTTGTTCTTGGCATTTTCACTCCGTCCTGCGTCAACGACACACAGAGAAGCCTCCGTGAGCCCGGGTACCTCGTCCTGCCCATGCTGAGCTGCTGCTCTCTGCACCACCGCCCCCAAGTCGCTGGTTTAGGGCTGGGGAGGTTTCTCTGGAAGCCTGCGTTGCCCAGTTATTCTTCATCCTTGTCATCTCTGCTGAATCAGCAATTCTGCTGGCAACGGCATTGGGTTGGCACATTGCCATCTGCAAGACCCTCAGTGTGTCACCTTTCTGACGACAGAGGATGACAGGGACGACAAGGTTGGCTGCTCTAGCAAGAAGCTCCCTAAATGTTGGGGAGTTGTGGTTCTTGTGCAGTGCTTGATCACAAAACAAACAAACTGCTCCCTCACACCCACGGGCAGCAATCCTGTGGCCAATATCTGAGTGATTGATCACCCTGGACAGTCTCTGCCTGCTTCTCCCCCACATTAGACCCCATCACTCATGCAATAACAGACAAACGGGCTCAGAGGAGAGCAGAGCAGCGCAGCCCAGGCGCTTCTCTGGTGTCACAGCCCTGGCAGGTAGGAGAGCTGGGCTTGGGGCTGGGGCACCAAAGGGTTGTGTTTCCTTCTGAGTGCATCAAGAGATGTTCATAGAATCATAGAATCACAGAATCATAGAATCCTAGAATTGTCAGGGTCGGAAGGGACCTCAAAGGTCATCTT